CCACGCCCTCCCCCTCCCCCCTCCCTCAAAAAGAAAAGGCCTGTCACCCCAGAACTGGGGGCATTTAAAGTTATCTTTGTCCTAGGCTTTGTAGAGTTCTCTGGAAGAACAGGGATCCAGGGTCGGTTAGGAAGAGCACAGTGAGGGGCTGGGCCTGTAGTCTGTTGTGTGCACAGGGGAGTTGTTTGTATAATTTGAATGCTGGTTACACTTTGCTGCCCCTAGCCTACCTTTATTTGTTCTGATTTGTCAGCATGTAAGTGCAGTTGATGGAAATGAATCCTTTGTGTCTTTGTTACTCTTTTTAGCAGGAGCATTGGTGAGTAGGAGTGGGTAGGTGTCTGGTCCAGAAAGACCCAGAAAGGTGGGTGCTGCTGCTGCTGTCCCTCCTGCTCCTCCTCCTCTGCCTCCCCCTCTTCCTCTCCTTCCTCTTCCTCTTTTCCTTCCTCTTCTTCTTCTTTTTTAGACAGGGTCTCACTATATAGTCCAGGTTTCCTACTTCAGCCCCATAGTGGAGACTGGCTGTAAGCTTTCTATGTAGTCAAGGTTGATTTTGAACTCCTGATCCTTTGCCTCCACTTTCCAAATGCGGGGGTTACAGGTGTGTGCCATCATGGCTGGCTTTTAATTTTTTTGATAGTATTGGCAGCTGAACCCAGGGTGTACATTCTAGGCTAATACTATACTACTGAGCTATTATCCACAGCCTTAAGACATTTACTTTCATTATCAAATTCTGGAATCTCTATTTTTATTTTATGTGCATGAGTATTTTGCCTGCATTTAAGTGTACTCTTGTTGTGCAATGCCCTTGGAAGCCAGAAGAGGCTGTCAGATCCCCTGGAACTGGAGTTATGGACAGTTGTTTGCTGCTACGTGGGTGCTGGAAACCAAACCCAGGTCCTCTGCAAGAGCAGCCAGTGCTCTTAACCATTGAACCATCTGTCCAGCCCCCACCTACTTTCTATAGAAATGTTCATATATGTCTATCTTTTTGTGGTGCTGAGTGTTAGACCCAAGGCCACACATGAGAGGCCAGTGCTACCACCAAGCTGCAGCTTTGGTCTTCACTGCTGCTTTTTAAGGGAATTTGTTTATAGAATAGCAGGTGTGTTTTCTGAGTTGTGCCTGAGTTTTGTTTTCGGCATTGGTGTGAGACTCTGTGCTCATGGAGCTCTCAAGCCAGTGAGGAGACAGACTTTGGGGTTATGTGCACTTGCAGAGGTCAGAGGAGGGCATCAGATCCCCTGGAGCTGGAGTTACAGGTGGTTGTAAGCCACCAGAAGTGGATTGTAGGAACTGAACTCTGGACCTCTGGAAGAGCAGCAAACACTCTTAACCCATGAGGCATCTCTCCGCCCCCCATCTGCTTTTTAAAAAGTACTTTAGGGGATGGAGAGATGATTTCAAGGTTAAGAGCACTGATTGTTCATGCTGAGGACACAGGTTCAGTTCCCAGCACGGGACTGATTGTTCATGCTGAGGACACAGGTTCAGTTCCCAGCACGGGACATGGCAGCTAACAACCATCTGTACCTCCAGTTCCAGGAGATCTGATGCCCTCTTTGACTCCCACAGGTATTGTGTGACACAGGAATAGTTACATACCTGCAGGCAAAAGACACACACATAAAATGAAAATAAGTAAATAATAATAATGAAAACTACTTAAAAATTTTGGTGGCTTCAATTATGAATGAAAAGGAATACACTTTTTAATCCTCTATTTCCCACTAAAGGAAACACAATAGATTTGAGGTTCTAGAGACTATAAAGACAAAAGGAAGAGTAGTTAAGTAGCAGAAAAGGCCTGTTGGGGAAAAGTCCTTTTGATTAAGAGAATAGAATCACTGACTCAGAGGAGACCTAACATTCCAGTTGGACAGGGTCAGCAACTTGGCGGAAGCCCTGCCCCTTAGGAAGGCAGGAGCACTTCTAGGAAGGGGGTTCCCCTTAAGCTGCTCTGGCCACAATGCTCAGCTGGTTTGCCCACCTTCCCTTTTCCTTTCTCTGTCTCTTCCATTCAAATGCTGGCCAGAACCTCAGCTCTTTCTGCTGTTTTGGGCTTCCTTCTCTCTAAAGCCCCTCTCCCCACGTCTGACCTCCATCGGACTCAGCTGGCCTTTTTTCCTTTTCTTGGCCATTCTCCTGGGCAGCTGCTGCAACCTACAGCTCGCCTGCCCTGAGGTTCTTTCCTTTAAACACTAAAATTGTCCTTGAGCGTCTGTTTGTGTCCATTCTTAAAACCTTTTATTGAGACTAAGAACCCAGAGGGGACCCTGCTCTCCCCTGCGGCGTAGTGATAGTTCAGACTCCACTGAAGGGGGTATAGGGATTGAAAAGCACTGTGCTGGGTGGAGAGAACCAGTACTCTAAAGATGCCGCTTTCTCCACATTAACTTTGTGATCCAACACTTAACCTTAACCAACTGCCATTATAAATAAATTAATGGGAAAAGTGTTTAAAAAAATTGAGTGGGGGGGCTGGAGAGATGGCTTAGTGGTTAAGAGCACTGACTGTTCTTGCAGAAGACCCGGGTTCGAATCCCAGCACCCACATGGCAGCTAACAACTGTCCGTAACTCCAGTTCCAGGGGATCTGACAGTCTCTTCTGTCCTCTGCGGGCATTGCACGACACAAGTGCACTTACCTACATGCAGGCAATACACGCATACACATAAAATTAAAATAATAAATAAAATATAAAAAAAAATTGAGTGGGAGCTGGAGAGATGCTCAGTAGTTAAAGCACTGGCTGCTCCTGCGGAGGACTTGGGTGTGGTTCCCAGCACTCACAGGACAGCTAACAACCGTCAGTAACTCCAGTTCCAGGGGATCTGACCCCCTCTTCTGACCTCTGCAGGCATTGCATGACATGGGTGCACTTATATACATGCAGGCAATATACCCATACTCATAAAATAAAAATATTTTTTAAAAATTGAGTGGGACTGACAGGATAGTAGCCTGGTGACCAGGTGAAAAGCAAGAACCAACTCCACTGAGTTGTCCTCTGACCTGCACATGTCTGTGGGTGCATACACACACACACACACACACACACACACACATTTTTTAGAAAAATTTGGCCTGTCCTAGCTGTGTCTCAAGGGAGGAAGGGAGGGTGTTGCTTATCTAGGCTCCCAGGAGAAGCCAAGTTGGATGAACCCTATGAGGTGTTCAGGGTCTAGTTTCCCTTCCTGAGAATTTACTAGTCATCTGGGACTATCACTGGGCAAGGGATGTGGCAGGGCTGTGGATGCAGTACTGGATATCCATCGCAGTCGGAAGGAATGGGGGGGTCTGTGTTTGTCTAAGATGACCATGGCCAGCTCAGAAGCAGATCAGAGTAAACAGCTTGTGGGGGAAATGGCCCAGGAGCAGGCTGAGGAGGAAGTCAGCACAGGCTCCTGCGGCCCTGTGACACTGAAAAGATGGGGCACCGTAGAGGGTGCCCGTCGATGCCCAACATCCGCACTGCCCCGCCACGCTGTTCTCTACAGCTTGTGTGCTTTTTAACATGGTCTTGTCTGTTTCACAGTGTTGAAGCTTCTGTTTTCTCTGTTTTTGGTTGGTTGGAGTTTCTGTTTTCTATAGCTGACATTTATGTTTGTTTGTTTTCTGTTTGTCAAAGCTATATATCAAGAAAATTAAAGACCAAATAATTTGGGAAGAAACATTTACGGTGAATAGTTTATATTAATTGCTTTTCTCGTAATAAATAACTATAAAAACTACAAAAGGAAAGAAAGGATTATTCGGCTCACAATATGGTGGCACAGATCATGATGGGAAGGCTTGGCCTTGAGAGCTTGAGGCAGCTGGTGAGCTTGCATCTACACTCGGGAGCAGAGACAGACTGCTTTTTATTTAGTCCAGGGTCCCAGCCCATGGCATGGTCAGCCCACATTGGGGATGGGTCTTCCCAGCTCAGTTAACACAACTAGACACTCCTTCGCAAACATGCCCAGAAGCTTGTCTTCTACGTATTTATTTCGAGATCCTGTCCAGGTGACAATATTGACTATCACAGAACTCAAATAAAAGGTTGAGATTGTAAGTCTATCAGTAGCTCTTAGCATTTATTAACAAAAAAAATGAAATGCCATTTTTTATTTATTTTTGGGTCTTTTTGAGACAGGGTCCCACTGTAGCCCCAGCTGTCCTGGAACTCACTGTGGACCAGGCTGGCCTGGAACTCAAAGATCTGCCTGCCTCTGCCTCCTGAGTGGTGGGATTAAAGGCTTGTGCCACCATGGTGGCCAGCTAAATACCATTTTTTAAAGGATAGAATGTAAGAAACTTACAGAAGAAACAAATGGCCAACAGAAAGGGAAAAAACAACTCTGACCTCTTTAGTACAGAGGGCTTAACATTTAAAATAGTAATGGAAGCTGGATGTGGTGGCACATGCCTTTAATCCCAGCACTCAGGAAGCAGAGGCAGGTGGATCTCTGTGAGTTTGGGGCCAGCCTGGTCTCCATAGCAAGTTCCAGGACAGCCGGGGGTACAGGGAGACCCTGTCTCAAAAAGACCAATAATTAATAATAATAATAATAATAATAATGAGGCTTTAAAGTTTCACAGGCATGGTAACTCCGCTGCGGTGGGTGGGTAGACACCCTGGCATGCTCTTTTTGGAGAGCATTTTTGGACTATATGTCAAAAATCATAAAAGTCTTCATATTTTTATTCATTTTATTAGCGTTGTTTAAGAATTTCTTTACCGGAAGCAGTTTGTAATCATTTCTTTCTTTCATTTGGACGGTGGCATGTTTAGTAATGAGTACCTGCTGCTCTTCACATAGACTGTCCTCTTTTTACAAGCTTGTCTTTGTAATTGCAGTCTTTCAAGATCATCAGCTTTGCCCCCAGTTTGCTTCGGATCATAGTCTCTGACCATGTGGAGTTCCCGGTCCGTCAGGCTGGTGAGTTGCCTTTTCATCCTGCATGGTTCATTTATAGCTGAGGGTAGAATGAGATTTCTACTTTAAACCTACATGTCTTCAATGTGCCTGCTGGTCAGAATCCCAGCACAGAAGGGAGAGGCACCCCAGAGCTGTTGGCAGTTGGCGGCTACCGAGGGAGGGAGAGTCACTGTCCTTGGGGTTGTGGCTGCTGGTAGGGTGATGATGCAGTCGATGGCCACACACTCATGTGCACATGGCAGTGTTAATTGGACTCAGGATTGTTAATACAACAGAAACAAAATAAGTAAATAGAAGACTTGAAGCTGGGGGGGTAAGCAAGGGAGGGGGAGCGACACTTGGGTAAGTTGGAGAGAGGTAGTGGGTGGATATCATCAGTACACACTGTATAAAAGTATGGAACGTCCAAAGAATAAATATGTTATTTAAAAAATATCTCAATGTCTTGAAAAAATTAAGGACACATAAAGTATTTCTAAGGCATAAAAACTCCTTTCCTCCTGGAAGCTGACTGCTAGGTGCTGAGTTCTCACGTCTCCCTACGGTGGTTTGCTGGTTTTAAGCTCTCCTTGCTGTAACCCATCGGTTCCTGCCTCTGTAACTTTGCTGTCCCCCTTTATTAATCTGTCTAACATGATTCTAGTAGCTTTCCCCTTGGTCCCTCAGGTTAAGATCACAGATTGATGTGTATGAGTTCCGGTGCCAGAGGCAGTGTCTCCTGGGTGTTCCACCAGAGCGGGCTTCTTTCTTGTGGTGCTGGGAATTGGACATTTTATCTTAAATTTATCTTTATGCCTGTGGGATCTATTGTGTGATAACCTCCACTCCCCCTCCCCCGACCCCTGTGTAGCCTAGGCTGGTCTTGAATTCATCAAAGTTTCGTCTGGTTTCTGCTGACTGCATGTGGCTTTTGCATGATCTCAAAGTAAAACAAACAGCCCCCCACTCCACCAGATCGTAAGTTAAGCCATGGTAAGTCAGGGATAGTTTCTCCACATTACTAGTAATTTTGGCTGCATGCAGGAATGTAGAGAAGAAATTACCCAACACCCCTCACTCCAAAGCGACTGTTGATGTGTGGGCATGTGTTACCTGTGTTCATGTAGGAGGCGACCAGCTCTATAGAAATGTGACTGTAGTCATTGTGCTGATGAAAGTATTAATTTTGTTTGAATATAGAATAGAAACAAAGGAAATATTAAGCTTTGGGGAAGTGTTTATAAAATATCCAGCCACATATCGCCTCGTGACACGGACACATTGGGGAGATGCATTGTTTGTGGTTCTGGTACTGCTGAGTCTCCTCAAGCCTTGGTGGCCTGGCCTTGCCTCCCCCTGCCTCCATGGAGATCTGATCCCTGCCTCCGTGGAGATCTGCTGTTGAATGAAGTGCCATTATGAGTCTATGTGATTCGCAGTGTCCTTTGTTTTTACGATCCAAAAGAACAACCCACAGAAAACATTCCCGTTACAGTGATTGTTTAATGAGGATTCTAAGTCTTCTGTGTAACTTACTTTCTGTCTTCCTCCCTTCCTCCCTCCCTTCCTCCCTCCCTGCCTTCCTTCCTCCCTTCCTTCCCTACTTTATCTTCTTTCTCTGTATAAGGAGAAAAGCAACTTTCTTATTCTTTCAAGAAAATGCACCACTAGGAGCTACATAAAATTTTTGCAGCACTAATCTCAGCTGTTCACCTTTGTTTTTATGAATGAAGCCTGTTTATATAATGTGTTTATATTGCTGTTATAAAGTTCCTGTGATTTTTTTAAGAAACCAAATCTTTAAAGTGTTTAAATGTTAAAACAAGTTATTAATGTCTTGTTTACCTGACATATAAACATGACAAAAACACAGAATCTGTAGTTGAGATTGCTTAAAAGCAATCGTAGGCAAACTGCTGAGAAGTGGTGAGGATGCTTCTAAAGCCATGTTCAAGGGTAGTCACATTGGGCGCCTGGCTCTTTAGGTCTTTGCTGTTAGATCACACGTGCTGTTTAAGATTTTCTCTTCTCTTTGAACCTTGTACCCTTGGGGGTTGCCTGTGTCAGTGTGTGTTCATGTGCTGTATTCTTTGTAAGAGCTACTCACATGTCCTGCTTGTTTAAGCAATTTGATGTTGATGGACATTTACCTTACTGCATTTTTTTCAGTGTGTGTTTGTGTGGTGTATGTACATGTTTATGTTGATGTTTGCATGTGTGTGTACAGCTGCACATGCATGTGACTGTGTATGCACATGCATGTGGAGGCCAGAGATTGATGTTGGGTGTTTTCCTCAGTCGTGTTCAATCTTTTTTTTTTTTTTAAATATTTTTATTTTATGTGTATGTGTGTATTGCCTGCATGTAGGTAAGTGCACCCATGTCATATAGTGCCTGCTGAAGACAGAAGAAACTGTTAGATCCCCTGGAACTGGAGTTACGGACAGTTGTTAGCTGCCATGTGGGTACTGGGATTCAAACCGGGGTCTTCTGCAAGAACAGTGTTCTTGCTGGGTGTGGTGGTGAACGCCCTTAGTCCCAGCACTTTGGAGGCAGAGGCAGGTGGATCTCTATGAGTTCAAGGCCAGCCTGGTTTACGTAGAGAGTTCCAGACCAGCTGGGGCTACAGGGAGACCCTATCTCAACAAACAAACAAACCCAGTGTTCTTAATCACTAAGCTGTCTCTCCAGCCCTCATATTCAATCTTATTCTTTAGACAGGGTCTCTCACTGAACCTGGAGCTCTCTAATTCAGCAAGTCTGGCTGTCCAGTGAGCGCCTTGGATCTGCCTGTCTCCACCTAGCCCTGGATGTGTACTTCTCTGCATGCGTGTGCGTGTGCATGTGTGTGCGTGTGCGTGCTGGAGATCTGTTCTTAGGTCCCAGCACTTCCCTTCACTGACTGAGCATCTCCCGAGCCGTGTTTTGTTCTGTGTGTGTGTGTGTGTGTGTGTGTGCACATATGTGTGTCTTGAGTCTGTGTGTGGTATATGGGTGGTGCATGCACACAAGTGCAAGTGGACACACCCAAACACGTGTGGAGGTCAGAGGAGGACCCTGGGTGTCCTGCTCTATCACTCTCTGCCTTACTCCCTTGAGACAGGGTCTCTCACTGAATCTGGAACCAGGCTGGTCTCCATTAAGCCCCAGAGTGCTGGGGTTACTGGTGAGCAACCATGTCAGCTTTTTCTGTGGGTGCTGGGATTGGAACGGAAGTCCTGGCTCTTGTGTAGCAAGTGCTGTTACCAGTTGAGCATCCCCCCAGCCCCCAGTTTTTATTCTAGATAGAAGCAATGCTAGGGGCTGAAAAGAGCTCAGTGGTTAAGAGCTCTTACTGCTCTTCCAGAGGACATGAGTTTGGTTCCCAGGACCCATATCAGGCAGCTCACAGCCTTTCGTAAGTCCACCTGCAGGCGATCCATTATGTAAAATTCTATATTGTTAGTATCCTAAAGTGCTATGTATACATTTTATGCTGTGTTTATTAAAGATAGAGGGATGCCCCAAGAACTTTATGACATCCAACAGCAGAAGCTTATTAGCATGACGTTTAAAAGAGAATGGTGTGAACTTTGCTTTAAAGAAGAAAGATATGGTATTAATTAGAAAGAGCTCTCTGTAGCTGAGCTCATAGTGAAATTTATTTCTGTACGAATTGAAAAGATGTGCTTTTTTTTTTTTTTTTTTTTTTTTTTTTTTTTTTTTTTGTCTTTTTGAGGCCGGGTCTCCCTGTAGCCCCAGCCCTGGAACTCACTATGTAGACCAGGCTGGTCTCACTATGTAGATCAGAGGCTTGCCTGCCTCTGCCTCCCAAGTGCTAGGATTAAAGGCGTGTACCACCACGCCCAACCTTAGAATATTAATGCATCTCTCAGCTCTCACCAGTGGAACCACCTCATACAACAGATGGTGATTAACCCATAAAACTACAACTGGACACAGTGCAGAGCATAAGAAACTACAGAGGTGGAGTGTCTGAGTAAACCTGTATCAACCCTCAGGGTCAATTTGCAGAAGGGGCAGAAAGACTGTAAGAGCCAGGGGTGGTGGGAGACCACAGGAAACAGTCTCCTAGACAGCTGGGAAGATGCTCATAGGAACTTACAGCAATGGCCACAGTGTGTACAAGTCCCATGGAAGCTCCAACTAGATAAAAGGTCAGCACAGAACTGAGGAAATGGGTTAGATGCCCCAACCTTAGCTGAGGAATTCTCTCAGTGGATGACTGCTAGGAGAGGAAGTTGGCGTTCTTTAAGGATGTGACGATGCTAGACATGTTGACCAGGCTGCAGTGGATGGACTCACACTATCTAAAAGACTCCCAAATTGCATAACTGTTGTCTCTAAGGGGAGAAGAAAGTCCTTGAATCATAAATAGGAGATGTGAAGAAGTAAAGGCACCAAATTCTTTTTTTGTTTAAGACCAGTCCTTATATGCTCCAGGCTGGCTTTGAACTTGCTATGTAGCTGAGGCTGGCCTTGAGTTCTGGATCCTCCTGTTTCTTCTCCGCAGCAGTGCTGAGATTACAGGTGTGTGCCACCAAGGCAGGCTTCTGCTGGCAGCTCCAACACATTCTTATTACTGCTAAGCAAGTGCACTAAGTAGTACCTGCTTTTGCCTTGCTGTGGTTTTTGAGGAACAGTGGTTCCTTGTGATAATGCCAAGCCTTCTGCACCCTGAATTCTCAAGTGTTTAGGAAAAGATTGTTTTGATGTTGACAAGCTAAATGACATAAATTTGGTCATTTGCTCTGCTGCTTTCCTGACAGGGCTTTGATAAGCACAGTAGTGCTGTCTGTTTTGTCAAGAGTGTGCAGAGAAGGAGCTTTTTCTCTTAAACAAGGTTTTGTACCTCAGACTGGCCAAGAATTCATCTTCTGTCCTTGGCCTCCCAAGTGCAGTGCTGGGGTGGATAGGCCTCCCTGCCACTTGCAGGTTGTAAGCCCAGTGTTACTTATTTATTGATGTGTTACATGTGCATATATATGTGTGCATGTGCATGTAGAGGCCAGGGGTCAGGCTTAGCTGTCATTCCTTAGGAGAAGCCCACCTCCAGTTTTTGAGAGCGGGGGTCTCACTGAACCTAGTAGAAGAGGCTGGTTGGTCCACAAGCCCCAGGGATCTGCCCCTGTGTTTCCCCAGCACTGGGATTACAAGAATGGTCCACCAAGCCTGGCTTTTTAATGTGGATTTTGGGGTTGCATGGCAAGCACTTTATTTACCGAGCCGTTCTTCTAATCCAAATGCTCATTTTAAATATATGATACAAGCTAGGCATGGTGGACATGCGGGACATGCAGGAGGGTAGCTTTTACCAGGGTGTAGTGATCAGGAGGGAGAGGAGACCACTTAACAGGCAGTATACAAAGGCTTGAAAGATCAGCTCAGGAGCACAGCTTTCTTCTTCACTGGGTTTAAATTTAAAAAAATTTACTTGGGGGTTAGAGAGATGGCTCAATGGTTAAGAACACTGTCTGTTCTTCCAGAAGACCCGGGTTCGAATCCCAGCACCACATGGCAGCTGACATCATTATTATTAAGTCAGCGGTGGTCAGGAGAGATGGGAGGGGTGGGGAAGGAGGGAAAGGAATTGATTAGATGCCAAAATACTGGAGGGATGGCTGTGGCTCTTAGCACAGCAGGCTGACTGCAGGTTAAAGCAGTCTGTGGCCCTCTCACATTCAGATGTGAGGAGATAGAAGTGCTCTTACCCTGGTTTCCTTGTCCGCCCGTCCACTGCCGTGGTGTGTGGCACAAGCCTGTGCTGTCAGTAGGAGGCCTGAAAAGTTAATTTTAAATTCTAGGTGCATAAAATGGCAAGTGGGTTTTTATAGGAAAGATGAAGTTTAGTACTTCATGAATTAGATTAGGGTGATAGTGTTTGCTTCCTAGCTCTGGGTAAATGGTTAGATAAGGGCTTGCATTGAATGACTGAAGGGAAAAGTTTGGGTTATTCATGGGGTTATAGCTATCTTTCCTTCATTGCCCTTAGTCACGCACAGCTGTCTGTAAGGGAAGTCAAAGTTCTCTTTAAATTATTACCAATAAGTTCCATTTTATGTTGACTGTACATATTTAACTGTGTACAAATCACAGTGCCTTTTCTACAAGCTGTTGTGTGTGGGGCCCCATAACATAATTCTTTTTAAAGTTACAAGATTAACAGCAGGATGCAGGCAGTGGATCTGGTTACTGCCTGGCCCTCTGCTCCCTGCTGGGTACTCAAAACCTGTTCTTTCTTTAAAAAAAAAAAAAAAAAAAAGGCTCCGGGTGGCTCCCAGGTGCCATGGAAACCAGGAAGGCCAGCTCCCAGCTGGAGATGGAAATGGAGCGTTGCCATTCTGAGTGTCAGTGGGAGCAGACCCCTAAGCTCTTCAAGCATCTGTCAGCCAAGCTCATCGCCAATGACGACATGACTGAACTTCTCCAGGAGTAGGAGCTAGAGCAGCACTTGGAGGAGAAGCCCCTGCAGCAGAGAGGAGGATAAGCAGAGTTTAAGAATTCTAAGTAAGGGGCTGGAGCGGGTGGCTCAGGGCTTGAGAGCACTGGCTGCTCTGGCAAAGGACTGGGTCTGGTTCCCAGCACCCACATGGCAGCTCACAACTGTCCATAGCTCCAGTTCAGGGGGTCCAACACCCGCTTCTGACCTCCGAGAGCATTGCACGACACGGATGCACTTAATGTACATGCAGGCAAAACACTCATATACATAAAATAAAAAAATAATAAAATATTAAAAGAAATCATTCTAAGTAAGTTCCTGATTTCACCATAGTTAAATTCTGCTCTCTCAGATGACTTTCCTTATTTTCGGGATTACTGCTACAGGGATTGAAATGACTCTGGTTTTTTAAGTTTTGAGACAGGGTCTCAGTATGTAGCCTTTGCTGTCCTGGAACTCACCACGTAGATCAGACTGTCCTGGAACTCACAGAGATCTGCTGTGCCTCTGCCTCCCGAGTGCTAGGGTTAAAGGTGACTTGAAATGTTCTGTATATAATGTAGTAGATTTTCTTTTTGCAAAGATGAATCCCATGTCTTCAGTTTGAGCTATAGGTTAGCTCATTTCCCAAGGTCGGTCATTCATTCTTTTGAACTGTCTACAGGTTTTTATTGCATGTTTACTTCTTGTCAACCACATTATCGAATATAATAATTGTGCTGAAGTAAATGAGAGAGGCTTAGTGCACAGCCTGGTTTAAATGAAGAACAAATAAGAGAAAGCCCTCTAATGCCACCCCCCACCCCACAGACACAGCCACCCTGCCCCAGACACATCCCCTCTTAGAACTTTGCAGCAGAGGGACTGGGGAGGTAACTTGGTGGGTTAGATGCTTGACCTGCAAGTGTGGGCACCAGCTCAGATCCCCAGAGCCCACGTAAAAGCCAGGCAGGTGTGTTGGCCGCCTGCAACCCCAGCACTTGGGAGGTAGAGGTGTGATCCTTGAGGCAAGCGCACTGACTAGTCAGAATCCATGAGCTCCTGGTCAGCGGAAACCCTGCCTTAGTAAATAAGGGAGGAAGACAGTCTAACTTGGGCCTCTGCATGCACACATGTGCAGGCACATTTCCCCGTGCACCAGCACATATGTGAGTATGCACACACATACCAGAAAAAAATAACCTTATATTAGTATTTCAGCTAATTTCTTTCAAATGCTACTGATATAGGTATTTTGATAGAAATAATCAGATACAAAGTTCCTGAGATTTTTCCAAGCATTTTGAAGGCCAACCCAGTTCTTTATGAATTATAAATAATAAAGGCCTCAGAGGGTTAGATGTTAATTACCGATGCTGTAAGATATCAGGGCACAGGTGCTCCAGAATGGCAGTGCGGGGTGGCAGGGGACAGGATCCGCAGCATGTGGCTGTGCGGGAAGTGGAAGCGGAACCTCAGAGCCGCGTCCTGAGGCCTGTGGAAAGGGGACTTTCTTGATCTCAGTGCTTTGTACGGCCCAGCGCCTTGTGCTCAGTCTAAGGACATGTACCTGATTCCAGATCATCTTTCCTGTCCTTTGAAGATGCTGCTCAGCCTGGTGGCGTGTTTCTTTTACTCTGGGTGAAGCTGAGTTCCCTGTCTCCCAAGCTGGCGTTCATACCTGTGGATTTTTATGCCCCTTTCTGGCATTGTGTTCATCTCTTCAGCCTTTGAGCTCTGCGAGACTGAGTTGAAGTTGTCCTCGGTGTTAACACATCTGTTTTCCACTCAATCTCAGCCGCCATCTACCTGAAGAACATGGTGACGCAGTACTGGCCAGATCGGGAGCCTCCGCCTGGAGAAGCAGTATTTCCATTCAACATTCACGAGAATGACCGGCAGCAGATCCGAGATAACATCGTGGAAGGGATCATTCGGTCTCCGGATCTGGTGAGGTAGGCTGGGCTAGGCTTCTCATTTGAGGAGGTGGGTGGCGGGAGCTGTGATGGACTGTTGGGTGCAATCTTTAGCCTTGTTTGTGTGTCTGTGTTTTTTATTTTAATTTATATTAGTTCTTTGGTCTTTTTGAGACAAGGTCTCTCTGTAGCCCCAGCTGGCTTGGAACTCACTGTGGACCAGGCTGGCCTTGATCTCATAGAGATCCACCTGCCTCTGTGCCCTGACTGTTGGGATTAGAGGCATGCGCCACCACGCTAAGCTGTGTTTTATTTTTTGGAGATGGTCTCATGTAGCCCAGGGTAGCCTCAAGTGTGCTTTGTAGCTGAGGATGACCTTGAACTTCTGATCCTCCTGTGTCTGTTGTACCTCATCCACTGGACCCCAAAAAGACCACCGAGGACCCAACACACCAAAATGCAAAAGCAAAGGTTTATGGTTTATTGGGGCTTAAGCTTGGGCTCTCAGACCTCACCAACTCAACAGATCCGTGCTGAGAGCCCAGAGTAAGGGAGAGTGGAG